ATTAAGGGGGGAAAAACTTGCTCACCCGAATGGCTCGCCATGGTGCTTCACCGGCCGTTTTCGGAGGAGGACAGCGCTCTGAGGGTTCATTCCTAGTGAAGTACTCCACGTAAGGGTTTTCATATACATCATCAGCTGCAGCCATCCCTCGACAATCAGGTTCGTTCAGCCTAGGACAGCGCACCTAACTATGGCAACTAGTGATGTGCACTTGTCAAAACTATATATCCCCAAATTTGGAATTCTTATATATTCCAAGAAACTTTACAGCTTTCGGGCGAGGACTGTCAGGCACCAAGAAGTCAGCAGCTCGCTTTGCACCAGAGAAATGGAGAAGCTCTTCAAACCAATCTTCCATGTCAACGGGCAGTTGATGAGAAAGTGTCGGTTCCCCCAAAAAAAACAAAGCTCTGCGCAATTTCATGTGAACCTGCGGGTGCACAAAACTGTGAGGTTCAGTTTTGAACTTCACGGCAAAGTTGATAGGGAACAGTCTCAAAGTTTGAACCCACGGCTGAAGAACACCACTCACCATTTGCATCCACACCACCGCAGGACTCGGGCAGCTGGGGACCTGGCTCCACGAGCTGCAAAGCCGGCAAGATGTTCAAGGACACGTCCAGGGTGGGCATCTCGTTTTGCACCTGGCCCATCGAGCGCGCATGGGTGAAAAGGGTGACAGTTCACAACTCCTGCCCAATGGCTCGGTAGGCCGCTAGGTTTTGCATTTTTCTCATCCAGCGCTGCAGCTCCCTTTAAAGATTGATCCATGGTTGGTATCCGTGTTGGACCCCAGGCACGTGCGATGCACATGTTGACTATCCCCATTGAAAGCTCAAACGGCTGGCCGAAATGAGGCCATCGCAACAAAAAGTCCTTCAGCTATGTGGAAGGCTCCCCCAAACGTTAGGACACATCATCAACGATCCCTGGCGTTGAAGGGCATCCCGGCTCAAGCGCTTTCAGGATCACTTATCCTTGGTCACCATCTTGAGCAAAGTCCTTGGCTGCGACTGCGAGGCTATCCACGAAAGGGCGAGGGACGTGATTGGATTGTTTGGGCAAACCCTCAGAATGGAAAATGATTGAAATCGAGTCAAAGGTCTTTGCTGCAGTCTCAGCAGTGGTAACCTTCGCACATGCCTTTTGAGTAGACTTCAGCTGGCTTTCCACTTTGGCGACCAACCTCAAATCCACTCACCACCATGGTTGATAGTTGGTGTTACCCATCACACAGTGTGAGGTTCAGAGTTGCTAGAATAAACAACCACATTGTACATGAATACCGGCAGGAAACGGTTTAGCTTCAGATTCTGAAAGCTTCCCTTTCTTCAACTGTTCAACCTCCGATTTGGTTTGCTCTACTGCTTCGTACTGGTCCTCAAGGATCTTGACCGCAGACTCAATCGATGTCTGCAACCTCAGCAGTGGATGAAAGGGCATATCAGCAGGAGCCATCATAGCGGGCGCATGAATCTGCTAGCGGTCAGCGAACCCCAAAAGCTAAGACAAACACTTGGCCACCCGATCACGATGGGGACTGGATTCATCACCTTTCATGGCTTCGTCCAACTGGCCGGAAGTATCATTCAATTTGTTGATTTTGGTCAGCAAAGAGTCCCCCAGCTTCTTCAGAGTCTGGTACTCCTGGATGAGAAAGGGGTTCGCGTGATAACGATTTCTCACGCCCGATAAATGTCAACTTGACAGGTGATGTATGAAGGTTGCTCTTTTGTGGGTTTGGCACAAAAATGTTGTTTCAGAGTTCACTCCTCCACCCCGGTCACTGGTCCAGCATCTTTGTCGGACTCCACATCCGACTCGGCGTTTCCTCTCGGAGCCAAGCTCTCCCGTGTCCTCTTTGTGTCCAGATTGTCGAACCGCACCCGGCCATTGACAGCCTGTCCAAGTAACAACACCAGCGAAGGTAGACATGCGTGAAACAACAAAGATGCAGAAACAACCTGCATTAAGATGCACACGCATGCGTATTACAACAAATCTCAGACGTATGTTTCCGTCTGCGACACAGTGCCTTGGTGGATCTTTTGATCTCACGCTCCAAGTCCTCGTCCACATCCTCGTCATCCTCTTCGACCTCCACATGGTACTTCATGATCTTCGGGTTGTATTTGTCCTTCCTCAGTCGCAACACTTCAACATCGCTGCATAATCCAACAGGGGTTGAGAGGCCAAAAAGGGAGAAACCTTAATGTGTGCCGTTTGTGGCCTCTCAACCTCTCTAGGGCAAAACTGCTTAGTGGATCAAGGCGATGCATGAGGCAATCCAAGAGAGGTCAAAAGAGTTTAAGTCGAAAACCTGTCAACATTTTTGCGCAAAAAACTGGGACATGGTTTTCAATTCATTGACTCGACCCGATGGAAGACCTCAATGTCTCCAAGTTTCCGAATCAACTTCTCGTTTCCCTTTCGCTCACAGTAGCGGACCACATCGTTGATGTATGGCCTTGAGAATGGCGCGCGGGAGTCTCCAAAGAGGCATTAGAGTCACAAAACTACAAATGCATGCGTGACACTCTAGCGTAAAGGCTGCATGTGCAAAACACTACGTGATACGCCGCGCGCAAATGAGTCAAGGCGCTTGGACCACTTCAACGTTGCGCGCATTCCTTCCTTGGTGTACCATCCCCTCTTCTTCTTACGGGTCACCTTGCTAGTCTTCTCCTTCTCCCTGATGACGTGACTTACAAACTTGTCCTAGCTGGCAAGCACACACAGAGATACCAGCTGTTATTTAAATTCACGAGCGCTAAAACAAGCATGCTCACGCGTGTTTGACCGTCCTTGTCCCAGTTCATTGTTTCGAGTTGTTCGCGTAGTGCCAAGCGTTCAGCCCCACCTTTGGCCCATTGTTGGTGAATGTGATCAGGCACATGGCACCGGCCACTGGGTTTCTTCTCACAAACTCTCCGGAGTCTATTGTTTTTGGCCGCTTCAGTCATGACCTCTTCAGGAGGAGACTCCCCCTCACCTGAACCAGCTTCACTCCCCGCTGGCTCAGATCCCTCATCGCTGGCATCGTCGCGGCCATCATCATCATCATCGCCGTCATCGGGTGGAGGCGCTGCTTTGCGTTTTGAGGCAGCTGTCTCACGAACCGATTTCGGAGATGGAGCAGGGCGCTTGCGGCCTGGGGGTGTCTTAACTTCAGAACCCTTATCAGCAGGAAGCTTCTTCTCCAAGGCGTTGAGCTTTGCCAGCAGAGCGGCATTTTCCTGCAAAAAACATAAGCACCCAAGATGTAAGTGGTCTACATCGAGTCACTATCTTTAGTTTTCGATCTGCAAAGCAATTCATGTCACCATTCCTGACCAAATGTTATGCTGGCATGCGTGCATGTATGTATGACCTGCATCAAGACTAGACTACTTTGGTTTCCGGGCTGCAAAGAAGGTTTACCAAACTCCATTTCATGGTGGTGGTGCAGGTTCTCACAATCAACAACCACATAGGATATTCGAACGCCCCCACCAGCAACCCAGCACCCATGAGCCTTGCTCAACCGGGCAATCTCACCAGGAGAGGAGGCGTCAGGAGTATCTTTCGCATTGCGCAGGCGCTTGGGTGGCTGGGACTTGGCAGGAGGCTTTTTGGGATCAACCTCCTTTTCCTTGGGTTTTGAAGCTGCACGCTGCTTGGGTTTCGGGGCAGGCTTCGGGGCAGCTTTGGCTGATGCTGATCGGCGACTCGTTTCAGGTTTGGCCTTGGCCTTGGCTGTCGCACCACAGGATGCAGCTTTCCTGGAAGCTGCTAGCTCCTCCGGCGTTGCCTTATGACACATGAGCCCACGACCACCCCAACCCTGAGTGGGAACTGAAACAATCAAGCTCATGGAACCTTGGAAGTGGTGTGGTTGAATGCGTCCATACAGCGATACCCAAAGGAAACAAACGTGGATGTAGCTGTGGGGCATTGTCGGTGTTTGGGGCTCTATGGTCAAGTCCACCTGGTATGCAAGTCTAATACTCGAACCAAGGTGCTGGTTGGGTTTCCTCATCAGTAGAAGCCTGGTCATGCACATTAGCACACCAGAACATACAGGACCTTGCGATAGAACCAAGCCTTTGGCGGAACGCCCGCCTTCTGCTTCAATGCTTTGATTTGTGCTTCGTATTCCTGATGAAAAAACATACCAAAGCCACGATTTCACCAATTATGTTGTTCATTCCAAACACTATCAAGCGTGCATGACCACGAGCGATCCTCGATCTGCCGTTGAAGTTCTTCAGGATCTCCATGTTCAGTCTTGACTTTCAACAAATCATTGTGGCCCTTCTCAAGTTCAGAGCAACTGTGTTTTTCGAAGGCATGGTCCGCAACTCCTTACCCTTCGGCATGGGAGGTCTGCGGAGAGAACAGCTTGGACCCCTACCTGCGAGGGCCTGGATCTCAAAGGGCTGTGGGAAACTATGAGTTACGATCCAAAACAATTAGCATGAGTGGCAAGCGCCAACTCAACTTGAAAGCATTGGTTAACACACCACTACTTGACCACATCTTGACTCAACAAACTGGTCATTTTCTGACAAGTCTGAAATACGGGGAAAGTACGGATTTAGTACGTATTTTGATACGGAAATCTACGGCTATTTACGCAAATCTACGGCCTTTATACGGGTGTACGGGTTTGTACGGGTGGCGTACGTACTCAATACGTACGCAGTACGTACTTCTAGTTTTCCATGATTTCACTATGGTTTTGAACGTTCATGCTAAGAAAAAAGATGACAAACACACTTGTCAATCACATACTGCCAAAGAATGAGTGGCCCACAAACCATCCATAGAATACAGGCTCCACATTGCCTCAAATGTGAGTGGGAACACGTGGGAACTCTTGGGTGCAAATCTTTTTCTCCTGCGCGAGCAGGGTCGGGGCCTTGAAGCAGCCAATTGGATCCCTGTTCAGAACTTCAATTTAGGGTTGCAGCTAAGAACCACAACCTGCACAATGCAATTCAGATACTGACTTATTTGAATCACAGTTCCTGGGGGAAAGAAGATCGCCACACACCCAAATTAAGGGAATTGTTTCCGCGGATGTAGGCAAGGACATCTAGCATTTGGCCATCGTCCCAGACATCGGTGTCCCAGGAAATGCTGTCAAAGAAAGCCTGCGTGCTCAGCCCAGCCATATCAGTCGGGATCTCAGGCGGCTTAGAACGGCTCTCAATCAAACGAGGAAAAAGCTGCACCATGCGAAGGCCAAAGTATGGCGGGTAGGTCCTGGGCTCCCACCAAATCACAATATCAATTGAGAATGCGCATGAGTTCTGCGCAAACAGGACACCAACATGTATTGATTCATTGGCTGATTAAAGGCACCATCACACCCCCACAAATAGTTCTGTGCACTGGACCCTGTCAACAACTCAGGCCACTACCCTGTCCCACGGAGGCTAGATGTGCCCGTATAAGCCTTACGCCCCTTCACATTGACCTTGACCGTGGCACTTTTCACACCAGTCTTAGCGATCTCCTTCCGTTGCGCCTTCCTCATTTTGCCTCTGTCCAAGCCCCCAATCTTCCGACTGTTTGCCCAGCAAATGTGCCTCTTTGGCGTGCATGAGCGGTAGTGGCCCATCCACCAACGGACAGCAAAGATCTGACAGGGGCTAGTGATGGGAGTGAACTTGCATGGTGAGGACAGGTTAGCGGGGGGGAGGGTGCAACGTTTTGAGCTGTTTGGATTACTTGGGCGATGCCCCAAACCTCTTTTTAACGGCCTCCAAAAACTACTTTTGGGGCATCGCTGCCTTAGATGGCCGTTAGAACCTGAAAGCTGCCGCAAGATTTTCTCCACTGATGCGGGCCCCAAATAGGTGAACCAGATTTATTCAAATCCCAGGCATAAGCTATTATAGTTTGTTGCGCTTGGGCCTTGGGAAAGCGTCGAAGGATGCTTCGCAAGCGAGGGTGGTACCAAGCAAGGCTCGAGATGGGTTGTTCTACCATCCATGCTGCCCCCACCGCTTGCAAGGCCATGAGGAGCAAAGTTACCCTCAGGCAGGCAACTGGTGTTCGGCTGTCGTCCGCTGGGTTTGGCGATGGGTTTGAAGGGCACCTCCCAAAATGTAGAAAACCACATCAAAAGACTTAATTAAGGTATTTCAGATTAGAGTCCGCGTGGCCAGAATGTTTCCCATTCTGACATGGGGTCGTTCTGTATCTCCCAGTGGGGACAGAATGCTGCGGCGATGGGTGGCAGCGTTGATTGCCACAAAGCTACTGCATACCAAGCCAATCACGCAAAGACTCTTGTCGAACTTCATGTTCAACACAGAAAGTAGCGCTAGACTTAGCTGTGGAAACCAACAACAAAGCAACCATGAACCGGGACCAAACATGATAGGTTTTGATCGCAGGTGGAACAGAAATGAGCCCAGTAGTCTATATATAGTCTTGTTTGAGGGCACCCAGAGTTGTACATCCCCAATCTCTAATTAATTTCATGGGATTGGAGCACAGTGGGGTCCAGGATGGAGCCAGGGAACCAGAACCCACTTGCAGTTGTCAGATCCATGACATTCTCCTTGAAGGGCTCCGGGCGTCCTAGTAAAATATCAAATTTTGCAGTCGTCAGACCACAGGAACCCGTGCAGTCAGTCACCCATCCACGACCTGCGAAAAATTCAACATAGTCGTAGGCCTCAGCATCGAAGAGTCATCAGATGTTCCCAGGAAAGGCCAGCTGAAACCGGAAGTCATGATACCCTAAAAAAGATAATGTTTGGGGGTGCCCTTTTTAAATTGCCTTTAGAATAGGTTTGGTGGTAGAAAAGGGCACCCACAAAAATTGTCTTCTACTGTAATGTTTGTTGGCTCGTGTTGGTCCATCTCCAAATAAGTGGAGGCCTTCGGAATTTCATATCCCATCAAGTCCGGACTCTTACAGGCCGCTTCATTTTGCTGCCTCTTTACCAATGGTCGGCACAACCCAGGCGCACAGACCTACGACATATTTCAACAAGATTGCGCGCAATAGTTTCAACAAGTTTGCGTGTCCCGACCCGGGACAACAGGGTATATGGGATTCTGATCATAGCTGTACGCAGAAGGGGTCAAAATGATTGCGTGTCATTTTGCCGTCCCTTTCTGATCCAAAAACCCTTTCCAGAAATTTTACAGTAATATTTCATATATAGTGTGATTGGAATACCCCTAAAGCTCTTTGCAGTTGTAGTCATTTTTTCAGGGTGGCCTGGGGCAGGTGTTTTGACAAAGACTGGCCAGATTCAAGGCCACCTTCATCAAAGAGCAAAATTTCCCGTCCCAATTCCCGATCCAGCCTCCATGAAGCTGTCCACATTTGCAGACAAGGTCAGCAAGACCACCAAGCCCATCAACACCTCCACACATGCAAGGCACACAGGGTTGGTCTAGTAGAACTCTCTCATATCTCAAAATGCGATATCCAAGACATTCCACACTCTCAACCAAGTGTGCCTTCGGTGCCCCAAGAAGGTGCATCCTTTTCAGCACCAAATCCAGTTTCCAGGGTTGGCTGCTGGAGGCTGACTCCATGGCGCCAAAGGACTTTCCCAGCCCCAAGCTCAGCCACTGCGCTTGGTGGAGTGAGTTTGTGACCGCGCAGCCAAAAGGTTAATCAATGCAAGCAAGGGATCAAATTCGCTTGACACTTTCAATGGGGAGTTGTTTGTTGATGGCCAATGACGAGCACACCTGAAAACCCCACACACACACACACTGGCTGAATGCACGCTATACAGCGCCAGATGTTGGAAGTGCACAACTGACCCACTATCGGTGATAAACATGCCCACGGTGCGTTTTGAAGCTTCTCCAAAAGCATCCGGCAGCAGTCGACGCTTCCACCCGCATCCACGCCCCATGCCTTTTGCTTGCCAAGATCTTCGGCCTAAGCGACGCAGCGAACGTGGCTGGGCCAGTTGGGCCCCCAGGGCCCCAGGGCAGGGGTTCCAATAGAAGTTAAATTGAAACTATAACTCAAATGTTTGATGTATAGCGTTCTGTCCCATCAACTCGCCTGGCAACTTTTTCCAAGCATTGATCGACACTGTGGCTGTCAAGCGAACTCACACCACACTGACTTCCCATGAAGTGACAAGATTAAATTCAGATGTGTTTTGCCCACATGAAGGGAAAGGGCATATGTTTTCAAGCTTTTCAGGACAGTGTGGCCATAGTAGCTCGCACTCAGCCCTACTCTAAGCCAAACAACGCTTCTTGAACACCCTTGGTGGCAACCCCTGCCAATGGAATTGGTCGTGTATGCATCCCCCTTTCTGGAGAGCGATACGGTGGCCCTTTAGACCATCTCAGCTTCAAAAAGCGGTGGGCAGGACATATCAGCTAAAGGAGTCATCCCAGCAAACAAACCAATCAATCAAGTCAATCCATACTACCATAAGCAAAACAATGCTTTGTAGTCGAAACAAAAGGATCGAGTTCAGTATATGGGTTTACTTTCTTCTAGACCCTGGCCTTGACCCTTTGCTGCCTGCAGCCCGTCAATCGAACCCCGAACCAGAGCCTAGGCTGACAGAACGCCAGTCTTTCGGAGCTGCTCCACATAGGCTTTGGCGCCTGCATGCGCCTCGGCCTCAATGTTGCCCTCATTGATCTCCTTGGAGCTCCAAAGCTTGGTGCAAAAGGTCCAAAAGTAGTCCTTCACATACACGCTGCAAATAGACGGCTTGGAATGTGGTGGGGAGGAACAGGTTTCTTTCAATCCAGAAAAAGATATACTTGTTTTCGGTAGACAGTTTAACCAAAGGCCCTGTGACCTGCGGTGAAGTAACAACAGCCCTGCTGGAATGTTAGCGGCTAAGATGCTGAAACTACTACAGTAATTGAATTGATGTTGCGCTCCGTTGCACTCATGCCAATTAATCTATCCCTGGGGAGTGGTTTTGGAGTGGCCAGCATTTGGGCATTGCTGCGTGGTCCAGCTGCCCGTGCACACATTATGCACATGCCACATATATGTGAAATATTCTTGCACATGCCACAGAAAATCAGAAAGAATTCGGGCGCAAAGGCAGTCCTCATGAGCGCTGTATGTCGACAAGAGTGGCTTGACCTTTTGCTGGAAAGCTTGGCGCATGGAATCCCACTTCATTGATGGAAAGGTTCCACTAGGCCTCCTCCTCTTGGCAAAGCACTTGTTCTTCGCGCCCTCCGCTGCAGGAAGATCCCCACCATTTTCCACCTCCTGCTTGTTGGACTTCTCCCTCTTGGTGCGAACAGGCTTGCGCTTCTCAAGCTTTTGGTTCCCACCCTCACACCCATCGACCTTGCCGCAAGGAGACCCCGCAGCCTCACCAGGCTTTCCACCCTCAGGCTTCACCTCAGGCTCCACGGCCTGGCCCTTTGGCTTCCGGGCTCTTGGCTTGCGAGCAGGAACAGCCTTTGACGGTGGAGACAGCGCACTCTCACCTGCTGGGTCAGCAAGCCGCTCATTGCTAAGATCTTCAGGTGAGATGCCTTCACCTTCACCTGGCAGCTGGCCCTTTGCTGCCTCTGCGGCCTTCTTGGGCAAAGCTTGGCTTCTTAGCTTGACGCTTTGGAGACATCTTAGCCTTGGCCTTGGCTTTTGCTTTTGCTTTCCCCTTGGCTCGGGGCATCTTCGCAGGTCTCTGCCCGTCTGCGCATTCCTCTCCTTCAGCAGAAGCCCGCTTTAGGCCCAACTGCATTCGGCGAAGGACCTTGGCAAAGAACAGGGTCCATGAAGAGCATGTTGGGGGCAAGGCAAAGTAGTGAGACATCCCGTCTGTGTGAAAGCTTGCGCTGATATTTTATTCAATCCACTTTAATGGACATCTTACTGCCCCAAAAAAAACAAAAATGAACATACAGCAAAGCTACACGCGGAGCTTCATCCTCCATATTCGGTTCCTCTGGAATCGGCTCAACAAATCGTTCGGCCATGGAATCAAGTTCAACAGCTGGCATGGGAAAGGTCTCCATGTTATCAGCCCCAAACGGCAAAGACTCTTGGACCAGGATAGGCTCGGCATCCTTCAATGACCTCAAAGCCAGCCTTGGATCAACCAAGACCCGTTGATGTGAAGACCCAGCTTCGGAACTGCATGGACATTTAAAAAGGATAGAACATCTGGCTACAGTTGAGGGAAAGGGATAAGCAAGACAACTTGGCAAACCTTTGCAAAGTTTTCCTAATTCCAAAGCCTAGAGTCTGGGCTGTTTGCTGTCGGCGAAGTTGAGCTACTTGAGCTTTCAATAAAGCTACCTGTTTCTCATCCTCTTCGCCTTCACCATGATCCAAGTCATGTAGACTTGAGGCACTAGCTGAAGGCTCTGCCACCTCCATGGCTGCGGCAACAGCGCCCACCACTTCATGGCCGGATTCTGGAACTTCGCCCACAGGAAGCTCGCTCGCTGCCTTCTCTGCGGTTTCCTTGTTGACTTTCATGAGATCACCTGCCATGCCTGAGTCTTGCTCCGCAAGGAACTCCTTGTAAGCGTGCTCGTCTTGCTCCGAAAGGAACACCTGATAAGCCTCCTCCTCAGCCTTCAACGTGGCAATAGCCAGATCGGCTTCATTGAGGACCTTTTCAGTTCGATCAGCGGCACTGACCTCTTCATCCTGGTCACCAAAGAGTTCATCTTCTTCAGCGGCAACCTCTGAATCCGAAATCAACAACGGATCGCCTTCCACAACCCCATCCTCCAGAGCAGGTGCATCGTCCCCATCATCAGATGCAGAGCCCTCATCATTCAGACCTTCAGTGGCACCACCCAGAATTGACTGTGACTCATTGGCTTCCTCTTCCTCAAACTCCTCGCAAGCGGATTGGGGGAGCACATGTTGGGCAAGCAAAGGTGACATCAGTATAGTGGGAAACCAATTGGGAAACTGAACGCAAGTATCGAAGAAGAGGAGCATTGCAACTGGAAAAATGCTGTGAATTAGAGACCAGTGTCGACACCAGTGAGCGCTGCCATCAAACGTCGAAAGCTTCTAGACCGGGTCATTTGGCCACGCGTGCACTTTCTCTTCACCATCACGCTAAACTTCTTGCAACGCCATGCGTCGAGTTTGACCTGGTCCTTGGCAAATTCAACGCCCACCATAGTGAACAGCTTCGTGATCCTGAGCTGGAAAGAGAGCTGGGTTGCATGTAGGAAGATGCTGTGCTAATACCAGATGTCCATATGTATGCGTGTGTGCACGCACGCGTGTATGATCGCATGGATAGTTTTTCCTGGCGCATGCACTTATAGCACATGTTGGTACTGGCTTGCATGCATGTAGCCATGAATCAACCAGTTGCATTTTTTTACTGCAAAGATTGAGGTTCAAAGACTGGAACAAGTGGTTCTACCACTGACCCTCAGGGAAAACAATTCTACCAACTGACATTTCAGGGTCCCACAGTTTATGCAAAAAACATGCAAATTGAACTTGGCCGCTCTTGTTCCAGGAGTGGAATGGAGCACATGCCAATTTCTCCAGTTGTTGGGTCCACCAGCATCTGAAGCAAGGGCATCAGCACATCGACATGATGTTCCGCACCATGGATGTTGATTTCTAAGGGTTTGTTCGCAATGCTCTCCAGAAACAAAGCCTTGTAGTCCCTGATGCGGTCCCTGATATGACGGCAGCTTTCCCATTTATCAGCCAAGCCAACGACAGAGGCATTGGTAGCCATGTTCGGTCAAAGGGCTGAAGAACAACGAGTGGGCACCGATCAAAACCACTGCGTATGAGCGGCGAATTTATATTCTCATGTGACCTAGATGCTGTATTCCTGCAAGCTTGGCAGCTACTACCACAATCAGGAGGGTCCGAGGCACATGTCAACTAGGTAGGTTTCCAAATCAAGAAGTACACAAGGTCTGCAAGAAACCATGTGTATTTTCCTTGAATGTGAAAATGTGATTCGCAAGTACCCAACTAGCACAGTCCAACATGACTGTGCTGGCCCGGATCGTCCTGAAGTCCTGGCCCATTCATTTCGACCCCCGTCCGAACGACTGCCAAGGCCCCTGGCTTGGCTGTCACCGGCTGTTGGCATCGACCATCAGCGCACAGCAGAAAGGGCATCACTGCGCTTGGGAGTGGCCGGCATGAGCATGTTTGGTCCCATTGGTCGAGTAGGTGGCCCAAAACCATAGTACTCTAGTGTGCTTCATGGGCATTGATTGTGGTGGTACAATCATTAGGAGCTGTCTCGGCACACATGCCCACTTGGAAACCTCTGAATGGTTTCAACTGGATCCAATCAGGGAACTCCAACTGTCACAAAAGGTTCAATGACCTTCTTGGAAGGATGATGATGGCGCTGCATGGATTCAGCATCCAATCAACTTGGGCCTGCTCCAAAAGTACGGCCCTTTCTGGGAAAGAGAGGTTTTCCACATGAAAACCTGCCTTTTTGAAAAGGCATTCCCTTTCGCAGGACTTTGAGGTTCCAGGTATATATACATTTATATGTATATAATATTATTGGCACCTTCGTGCAGGGGGCTATTGAGAGCACAACCAGCCACCCCAAGAATGACCACTTCGGGCGTCCTAGCGCAAATGATGTTGATCGAACGTGGATCGTATTGAATTCAAGCCTTGTGCCAAACGGATGCCCTTGACCTGCTCATCCTCCACATTGAGCCACACCAGTAAGGTGATAACCTCATGAGGGGAGCACGGACGGCACCCTACAAATCTTCCCGATCAAGACTTGCCATCCTCGGCCTATGGCCGCCTTCCGGGTCCGGAAAGTTGTATTCCTTGCAAGGTCACTTCAGAAGCGCTCCAAAAAGGCCACTTCAGACATGCGATGAAATACGGTGTTTCACCGGTGTCACCCCTTGGGGGATTCGGTGTCACTCCCCATGCCCTCCCACGTCCTTCACCGATCTGGGCCCAAGTCAAACGGGCCCGAGACCGCCGAGGGCGGGTGTCCCTCCGTGGAAAACCCGTGTGGCAAGCATGCGCAAGCCAGTGCTCTATGGGTCATGCAGCCAATTCGCAGTCAAATGGATTTGTATATGCAATGTTTTGATCCTTTTATGCCCACATAGCACCATACTGCCGTGGTCTTCTTTCTGGCTGATTTGAGGCCAGGAAACACTCAATGGCCGTCCGGTGATCAAGAAGTTCCGGCCAAATCCGTCGTCCTCCAGCGGAGGCATGCTGCACCCAAACGCACCGCCCAAGTCGCTTGGAATCAAGACTCACTTAATAAAAGCATTGATAAATAATGGCAACCAATTTTTATCAATTTTGACACAGCGACAGCCATGCCATTCTTGTTGGTGATCTTTTAATATCGTTTAACAATGCTGGAAGTGCTATATGTCTGGGGTGCATTTTCCAGCATCACTGAACCAATGTTGACGCCCCCAGAATGAACCGCAACACCACTTCAGGTTTCTGAATTCTTCCGCACGTCCAGCGACCGCGCTGTCCTTTCCCCCCTGCTGCGCAGGTAGTGCGGCTGAAGGGCCATCGCACTGTGGGAGCTTGGCAGTCCCTGATGCTGATGCAGCGAAACATCGGACATCTGAACGCGAACGAAACACCACTTTTGAGTGCATGTCAGCCAATGTGGGCACAGCAGGCTCTACCTCAAGCCAGCGATGCCAATCCTGAACCAACTCACCCGCAAATACATGCTGCGCAACACTTGTTCAGCTGTGTGGCTGTTGTGGCCTCCGGTTGTACCAGCCTTATACCAGACTTGATGTTGAACAACTGGTGTAAGCCCTCCCAAAAATTCCCCGCAACGGTCAGATCTTACCCCCAAACATGCCCAAACCCTGCGTTCTCCGTTGTGTTCGAGACCTCCGGGAAAGACTCGCCAGGCGAAGCCGAACTTGTCGCTCACGATCTGGAACTCCACCTGCACCACATCGGGACCGGGCCAAACCGGGACCAGAATGGCTTGGGGGGAGTTGCAGGTGTGGCCTAAAAGCAGATTTGAATTGATTTGGAATTGTAAAATAGAGGTTGCGTCCGGTGAAACAAAGGCAGAACCTCTGCCACTCTGCAACCCATACAGGAAAGAACGCACGGCAAAGAAGAGAAGCCATGGAAACCTCACCCAAACCATCATACAAGGAACGCTGGAAAGAAGAATGCTGAACAATTGGCGACCACTGCCAACGTACCCCGGATACGACGAGGATCTGGCAACAACCAACAAAGTAAGCCAACAGATTGCTGGAAGGAAAATCTCTTTCATGCCCCACACCCTTCCACGCAGTGGGGTGCCCGAGGGATGACTATCACACAAAATTTATGAACAAAACGTGCAGAAACAGCCACCCAAGCATCCAACTTACACAGGTTGAGGCCGACCTTTCATGCCCCGCCAGCTACATGCAGGTCCAATACACCGCAGAATGCATATGTATGTATATATCTGTGTAAATATAAAATATATATTATTATGTATTGATAATTACATATTGAGATAAAACAGGGGAACACATGTCAGTCCCATGGAGTCTCTGAGAAGTCTGAGAAACGCACCCTAAGGGCTTCGTTCACTCCTCACTCCCTCTGCCCTTGTCCCGGTGCCTCCCGGGTCAACAGGCGCATGCAAAGGCTGTGGCCCTGCCACGGTCCTATGGCCAAGGCACCGCTACGGTGTAACAGGAAGTGGAGTTTCCGGGAACAGGGTTTCCAAACCTCAAGCTAGCCTGCAGAACATGCAGGGAATCTGAACAACCAAGAAGAACGCGGTCCATCTCTCTCTCTCTCTCTCTGCATGGCTCCTCGTTTCACGGAGGCACCCGACTACCGCACAGTACCGGGGAGGTACTTGCCGGTTTGGCACTTGGAAAATGTCCCAGCTGATCTTCCAGAAGAAACTGAAAGATCATGCATCACAGCCACCTTAAGGAACTTGCCCTTCTAAGGTGATGTTTTCGAATGAAGCTACTCACATGACTCCCATCAAGTCACCACCCCTCATGATGAGGACGCCAGCGAATGGATC